GCCAATGCCTCCTACTTGTCAGAGCGGTGCATTTAGTGGGACGGGAGGGCACTGCGGGCAAAGGGGCCAGGGAACGTGGCTGGCAGTGCTCTGCGATCGCCATCCGTATTTGACAGGAACGAGGCTGAGACGAGGCGGCAACCGGAGCTCGGGCCCCGCGCCTCGTGCCACCTCGCAGGAGCAAGCTGCCCAAGTCCTCCGCGGGCCTCGCCAGCCCGGCCACGTCAAGGGGCAGGCGCTTGTGGCAGGGCGTCAAAGCCTCCGCCGCCGCAGTCCGACTCACGGTGTGCTTGCAGATGTCGAGGTAGGCGTTGTAGAGCTTGCCGGAGGATGGGCAGTCGAAGAGGTCGCTGGGAATGTCCGTCCATCTCATGAAGCTGGCACAGTCAGAAAGGGCACCCCGAGCAGCCTGGAGAGGAGCGCGAGAGGCAAGCTGAAGCCGGCTGCTCGCGGCACGATGGATTTCGCCGACCAGAAGGTGCCACGGCCTCCCGGCGCTGCCGTCGCAGACTAGCAGGCGCTCCCTCCGGAAGCCTCAGCCGCCCCACGGAAAAGCTCCCGAGGACCTGGAGGGGGTCCCTGCCAGCCACGAGCGTGGTCTGGATCACCTCACCGAGCCCCAGAACCCCCCGCGCCGTTCCACGCAGCAAGCAAGCCCCACCGAGCAGCTGCTGGGGAAGCGAGGCCCCGGCTCACCTCGCGGCTCCCGGGATCCGCCAGCTGGATGAGGAGGGGAACGAGGCTTCCCAGAACGTCCTCCGTCACAGCGTTCCTCCGGGGTTCCTTCACCCCCGACAGCAGCATCCCGAAGAGAGAAACGGAGGCCTGCCTCACGTCCTCTTCATCCTGAAAGGATGGGGAGAGCGGGAAGGAGGCGTGTCCCCCAGGCCCACGTCTTGTGCCAGGCGGCGGGTTGAGGCGTGACTGAACAGATCGGATGGCCCAGTTCGGATGCCACAACAAACCTGCTTTTTCTCTTGTTAAGCCCCAGGCTGTTGAGAGCAGCCAAGCTGCTGGCGCATGCGGGAATGGCTGGACAAACCAGGCATGGCTCGTTTCTGCGTCGTTTGATGTTGTCTCCCGGCTTGGACCCCTGACTTGTTGGGGCAAAGACAAGCCGGGCAGATGGATGCGGATCCAACCATTCTAACAATTTTTAGTTATCTGAAACTTTTCTATACCATCCCGTCACAGACGTCTCGGGATGGTTTGCAACACATTAATGCAAAAAAAATAAATAAATAAAATATGAGTAACAGTTGCGCAGCATCAGATGCTAAAAGAAAACCACTAAGTACAACAGGTGAGCATTAAACTACTGGGAGGATGAAAAGGGTTTCGCCTGGCGCCAAAAGGAAAGACGCGTGGGTGCCAGGCGAGCCTCTCCGGGGCGCATGTTCCATGGCCGGGGGGGCCAGCACAGAGAAGGCCCTCCTCCGGGCAGGCACCCCCTCGCTCTCTTTCCAGGACGGCTCCCGGGGGAAGGCCTCTGGCTCAGGTGCCGAGGGGCGGGCAGGCGCATGGTGTCCCTGTCTCCATGCGCAGCCAGCCAAGGTGGGAGCGCCCCGGAGCAGTGCACAGCCCCCTTCGATGTGGGCTGGCGGATCCTCGCACCAGGCTTGGCGCTGTGCGTCGGGGCATGCAGAGGGTGTGCACGCTTTCCTGGTGCGCACACTGGTGAGCTGGGAGGCCTGGGGGACGCTGGTGGGCCACCTCCCGTGGGGGGGGGGACGGAGCCCGCTTCTCACGTGCCTGCGGACTTACGTCACTGAAGTATCTCGGGAGGTGTGGGATGAGGTCGGTGCCCACGAAGCCGAACTCCTCCACCTCCATGTGACGGAAGACACACGGGAGGGTCCGGAGGGCTTCCTTGGCAATGGCCCTCTCTGGATCCAGAGCACAGGACACCAGAGGACCAAGGATGGGCTCCAGAACCTGCCCCTGAAGAAAGCAGGGAAGGGGGGGTCACTGCGGAGCACGAGGATGGAATGCAGGTGTGTGGAGTC